TTCTGCTAAAGATAAATAAATACTACTAAGGTAGAATGCTAGAGCTATTATACCATTGACAAAGAGCAGAACAGGATGAAGCTCTAGGACGACCTCCCCAGTGGAGTCGCCATTTTGTTTAGGGTTGTTGGTGATGTAGGTGGATGAGTAAGCAATTGTGACGATGTAGAGGCTTACTAGGATGACAACCGAGAAAATGAGGGGGGTTCTTTTGGCAGCACCCATCTCATGTGTGGAAGGCTACATGTTACAGGCCATCCCATTCTGTTGGGCAATGATATCTTGCAATGAACTTTTTAGCTTTTTAAAAAAAGATAAATCTTCCAACCAAGCTGGTAGAGCTGGGTAGCAATGGCGAGACTCTAAGGGTTCAAGATGATTACACAACTATCAAAAACATGATGAGGAGAAGTTGTATGTTGTTAAAGAGGAGCAGCAAAGATGGAAAATACATGTGGTTCAAAGATTACAACTTGAGGATCACATTCATACATAAATCATTGTAATATGATAATAATGACAATAAATGTGACCTCCTTCATCTCTAGTGTATATCATTACTCTATAACGAACAATCCTCATATTGAAAATGAAAAGTGCAACAACTTCACTCTTGAAATTCTTCCAAAGACAAAAGGATAAACTTGAGAGTGGTGATGGGAAAAGGAAGGGTAATCGCTTGGGAGCTTATGAATGAAGCACTTAATCCCATTTTTTATGTTAACCTTGCAACCTTGGTCGTTTGATGCTTAAGAAGAACTACCCGAAAACTAAAATTACAACATGTTGCTTCCTGGCTATAATATCGTACAAACTTGGAAATGTTCTACGGTGTTCGGTGATATTCTGCAATGGTGGAAAATGTTCTACAGTGTTGGAAACACAGGACATTCGAGAAAAGTGGTGATTTCTAGGTGGTTTTAGTGTGTAGGGCAATAGGTTGAAGACGAAATATTTTTGGTTAAATACCATTTTTGGTCCCTCTACTATAGGAAAAAGCTCCTTTTTATTCCTTGTACCAAAAAAATCCCCTTTTTGATCCTTAGTATTTGAAATCCGGCCCCTTTTTGGTCCTTCCATTAAATTTTGGCTGATGTGGCAAGTTGACTAACGGAAAAACTTATTTTTTTCTTTATTTAAATTATGTGAAAAATACACCTGGTACAACTTGATGACATGGCCAAGTTTTTTTGTTTAATTTAACCTTAAAAATCATGTAATTACATAATTGCCATTATAAATATTTTAAAGATTACTTATTTGCCCCTATCTTCTTCCTTCCTCTAGCTTTTTTTTTCCCTTTTAGATCTCGCTAGGATATTTGCAAACGCAGCGTTGGGTTTGCACTGGGTTTGCTTGGGTTCGTGATGGGAAACCCAGCACCTGGGTTCGCGTGGGTTCATGACGTGAACCCAACGCCTAGGTTCGCGTGGGTTTGTGATGCTAACCCAGTGCTTGGGTTGTGCTTGGGTTCGCATCACGAAACTAGCGCCTAGGTTCGTGTGGGTTCTTGATGCGAACCCAACGCCTGGGTTCGCGTGGGTTGGTGACACTAACGACGAATCTAGATTCGCAAAACAAACCCAGGATCTAGGCTAGGTTTGTGACGAACCAAAAATCTAGGCTGGGTTCGCAACGAACCCAGCTCCTAGTTTCATCTACTGATTATGTTTGAATGCTAGGACTTTGTATTTCGTATTCCATTTTTCATTTTCACTGTCTCTGAACATGAATGATATGGATTTAGCTTTTGAATTTCATCTAATGATTAGATCATTCTTAGGAAGGATTTTGAGTATTGTAGTTGGAGATTCGAATCTCTTCTATTATGTATCTTGGTTTTTATATTAGATTTTAGCTTGTATCTACTGATTCTAGGTATGAAATATTTTGATTTCGTGTTTGAATTTTGACTATTGATTTGATCATTCAAAGAATTGGATCATCGTGACGAACCTAGCGGCATTAGACAGAAGGGGGAAGAAGATGAGACAAAAGAGGATAAGACAAAAGTGGGAAGAAGATGAGGGTAAATAAGTATTTTTAATCACAAAATAATTTTTAAAATATTTATAATGACAATTATGTAATTAAATGATTTTTAAGGTTAAATTAAACAAAAAAATTTGGCCATGTCATCAAGTTGTACTAGGTGGATTTTCCACATAATTAAAATAAAGAAAAAATAAGTTTTTCCATTAGTTAACCTGCTACATCAACCAAAATTTAATGGAAAGACCAAAAAGGGGTCGGATTTCAAACAGTAAGGATCAAAAAGGGGATTTTTTCGGTATAGAGACTAAAAAGGGGTTTTTTCCTATGGTAGAGGGACCAAAAAGGGTATTTAACCAATATTTTTTTTAGAGGAAAAAATGAGGGTTTTGGTACATGAGGAAGAAAGGCTGAAGTTGTGTGTCAAGATCTGTTTTCGTGCGACATGTATATATATCCTGGAAAATGAAGGGCAGATAATATATATATATATATATATGCAATGGTATTGTTGTAATTTCTGGTTGATGACTTAGAGGTGTGCAAATAGGTTTAGGTGAGCTGTCAAATTTTTGGTGGCTCTGGGCACTGTTGGCAACTCTATGACAGTGGCATCATGAATTGCTCAAGGGTTCCAATGAAGCTTCGCTGGTTCTGGCGAAAAACTGGAAATTGTATATTCCTGGCAATGCCTTTAGCCACATGAAATCCCATCTTTAGATAGGTGCTTGAGTGCAACCGACAAAAACGACACCTATACAAGATTTAGTAGGTTCCCCAAGCTCTACATGAGATTTTGGAAGATTATACAAGCAAATAGTAATCTTTTACAGCAATTTCCAAGGCCATGGAACTTGTGTAGCCACCTTTGCATTAAATATGGCTGCAAGTTGTTGATGGTGATCAAGATAGCATCTCTAGTTAGTTTCTAGCGAGATTTCCAATCTTTGGCTAGCATCAAATGATACTGTTCCAGGAGTCAAGTTTACTTCCACGTCTTTGCCACCCAACCCTTTCTGGCGAAGTCGGGTAGCATCGCCAGCACCAAGCTTCACTAGCGCGAATGCCTTGCTTTGCCAAACAAGCAGCGTTCATCCATCCATGCCTGCCAAGCCACCACTCCCATAATTTATCCCGAGCAATTCGCATGAGCTTGGATTCATGGGCTTGAGTTTATGTATAGTAACAACAAAGCACATGTGAATATATGTTCAAGTATTTAAGCATAAGAAACATATAAATATATGCAGCGAAGAAGGGAACACCCTTGTGTATTAAAGGGGGCTATGTGGATGAATGTTCGTTGCTCCCATTTGTTTGCAGGTCATGGCGAGCATAAGTATATTGCTGTTGTACATGGCTAGGATTGTGCCAGAATGAGGAACAAGTGATATGGGTGTGTACTACGATATCGTTGTCTCGAGCCAAGCTTCGCTAGTCGGCAATACCTGCTAACATGTTAGACATAGAAAATATGTGTTATGAGTTGGGATTACCGGTGATTGGTAATTTTGTCCCTTTGTGTAGAAGAGTGATAATGTGCATGACTTCCGGCCATGTTATGTATTGCAGGGTCAGCCATGAATAACTTCCCCATAGCCAAAGGGACAACAATGGCTAGCTTTGCCCATGGCTGGAGCATGGACTATGTGGAATTGGAAAAGCACTCCCACTAATCTGCCAAGCCGCGAAGGGGTAAATCTCATTAAACTAGACTCCACCATAATGATGAATATGTATAGAGAAAGGTGAAGTTGTCTTCATGGAAGGGGGATGCCAGCCGCATCCATGGCCTTTAATATGACAAGGTGTGATACCATTGACAAACATTGGCCCTTCTTGTTGTACCCACCGAGCATTGCACCACCATGCATGGGCGACCACCAAGGGATCGTCGGCCGCTACTTGATGAATTTTTATCGTTGGAGGGTAGCCATCCCATCCGATCATAGGGTTGCAACTATTACTGGCCCCACGCTAATCGTACCGAGTTGCGCTAACTCTTTGTCCATCTCTGTGAGCCAGTGAGATAGAATATGCAGAAATCCGATCCTTTGTCCATTGCCGAGAGTTGGTGTAATAAGATATGTGGAAATGCGTAGCCTATTGCCCATTACTAAAAGCTAGATGAGATAGTAAATCTGGCCCTTTGTTCATCGCTGGAAGCTATGTAGGTGTAATAAGATCACCCAGTTGTCCATTGATGGGAACCAACGATAGAGATATGTAGACATAGATGCTTGGCTCGTTGCCCATCATGGGAAGCTATGCATATCAGATTGTTGTCTTTTGACGGAAGCCATGTAGTAAAATAGGGTTTTTATCCATTACTAGGAACCATAGGATACATCAGTGAATATCGTTGCAAAGGACATGACCATCAAGAAATGCCCAGCCATCACTGAAATAGATCTAGCTATGTTTGGCCATGTATGTGAAAATAGATGCTGGAGTGGGTTATATTCTACGATGTCTCCAGCAAAGTGCATGAGTGTCATTTCTGGCAATGCTAATTTCATTGCAACAATTAGTAGAAAATAAAAACTGCACGTTCGATGTGAGAAATGAGCGTTGTGGGCCCTTGCTGATGTGGATCCGCACACGTCATTGGTTTTGCAACCATACAAATTCATCCCTCAACAAACATTTAACTCTAAACATTAGTATCATAGGTCATTAGTAGTTTTATTTCTCATGGAGTTTATATGACATAGTATAGCTTACATTATAATTACTTTAATTATTAATACAATTATACTTTTTTCAAAATAATAATAATAATCAAATGGCACAAGAAAATCGTTCGCCCAAAACCCTTCTTCCCAAAATAATAACTTCAAGTCTAACCCAGTTAAAATATGGTTTAAGTACCATTTTGGTCCCTCAACTTTTCACTTTGGCACCAAAATTATTCCTCAATTTTAAAAAGTACCAAAATTGTCCCTCAATTTTCATTTTTGGTACCAAAAAAGTCTTTTCGTCAATTAAATGACAGATGGCACGTTGCCAGCAAATCATTTCTTTTTATCTTAACTAATGACATGGAAAAAAACAAAGTATAGTTGGCCATCTTTTGTATGAGTTGGCATTTTTATTTAATTTAAAAATAATGATATTTTTTTTTCATCCCCGTCATCTCTTCTTCCTCTCTCACTTTCTCTCTCCTTTACCTTTCCTTTTCCCTTACCCCTGCAAACCCAAATCCACTTCATCTTCTTCCTCCTTTCCTCCTCCAAGCTCATCCTTCTTCTTTCTTCTTCTTATTCTCTCTCTCTCTTCTCCATGCTTCTTCCTCTCTCAAACGCAGATCTGGGTTTCATCACATAAATTAATGATCTGAAGAAGTTGGTGATAATAAGAAAAGCAATACAAATCAATTTTGCCTAAAGGAAAAAAAAAAAAAGAAGAAAAAATTCATCTTCTTCCTTCTTTTCTCTTTCGATAGTTTTGCCTACTCATTCTCTATCTACCTTCCTCCTTCCTTTCCTTGCTCATCCTTCTTCTTTCTTCTTCTTATTCTTTTTCTCTCTCTTCTCCTTTATTCTTCCTCTCCAAATCAAACCCAGATCTGGGTTTGTTTTAATCTTATCATATACTAAAAAGTTCATCCCATAAATCCACAGAGTTGAAATACATACATACATTGGCCATTAATAATAATATTATATAACATCAAAGCTTCTTCCATACTAATATACAAACAAATAGCCTAATCTCAAAGTACAATTAGGCACAAAAGAAAGCAACAAAATAGGAAAATTGAAATTCTGTTGAGTGACTTGTCTACCTGTATCTCTTGTCTTCTCAGCCTAGGACTGCTATTCCCCATCAAGTAGTATGAATTTGGGTATGTGTATAAGCTTTTGGAGTTCCCAAACACCTTTGCATAAACCATCTCACCAAATATTCCAACCACTGGATGGTGGAATCCAATCATTGTGGGGCTTGCAAGGTTGGGCATCGACAAGGATGAATCCTCTTCATATAATGGATTTGGGTTATGGTTCTGTGCTTGATAAGGATTACGATAAGGAAGCTATTGACCATTATGATTGGTAGTTGACAGAAGAGCTTGGTTACCGCAAGCAGAAATACATACGTATGCCGCTTCTTCCCTTGCCTCCTCTTCCCTCATGTCTTGGTGATTTTTACAGATTCTGCTAGGTGAATGAGGGGGGATTTGAGGGCAAAAGGGTGGGTTTGAGACAAACCCAAGGCCCACTAATTCCAGCACAAAGTACTGTGAAGACATTGGACACTCATGTGGCTTGCCTTTCTCCAACCAAAACCAGACAACATAATGCTCATCCTCGCCTTCAACTCCTAGGCACCCAACTATTCTCTTGTCATAGAAGGATTTGATGACTGTAGAAGCTTCCTTTGTGCCAAAAAGACTAACAGGATTGTTAAAATCTTCAAGAATTTTCCGCGCCTAAAGTTCAGCTTCAAGCTCCTCACGCTCGTGCCCTGTGGTAATTGGATTTATGTCCTCAACCCTCTTCTTCACAACAGTCTCCGTTGATTCGGAGGAGAAATAGCGAGTGAGGAGAGAAGCAGAGGTGGATGGAGAAATGTAGAGTTTGTCTCAAGCCCCGAGCTGGGTTTGAGACAAACCCAGATCGAGGCTTGAGACAAACCTAGATCTGGGTTTGTTTTGGAGAGGAAGAAAAATTGATAA